AGAGAGAGAGAGAGAGAGAGAGAGAGAGAGAGAGAGACGGAGAGAGAGAGAGAGAGGCGTGGAAATCGTCAGGTGTGCCCCGAGAGATTATTATTAGCCGTCTGGAGATGCCGCGGGGGCCGCGTGGTCCTCGAGGCCCTCGGGGTCGCGCGCTCCTCCGCGAGGGCAGTGCTTAAAATTATCCGTCGCAATCGACATCGCGATGCCGACGCCACGCACGTCTTAATGTCCTTGTCAAGGCACTGCGAACCCTTATCGAACACACCCCTGAAAGTCACGACTCGTTAGCAAGCATCTACTTCGCTTTTCCAGCGCCACAGAGGTTTGATCGTTGAGCCGAACTGTTGCGGCAGTGGTTTCCAGTGGTTTCCGGCCACTCCACTCTCAATTACGGGTCCGAGCGCCGGTTAGTCTCGGTGGCAGGTATGCTTATGTAAAAACAAAACGGCCTCCATTATTTATGACGTGTCAGCGTCTGTCACCGTCCCGAGATAATGTCCTGGCGGAACTGCGTCTTGCAAGCGTCCCGCTGACAGGCAATTCTCGTCTCGGAGAGCAGGGGAATAAATTTGGGCTTGCGAAAGGGAGGAAGGACCAAGATAGCCTGGCTCGGCCAGCCCTATCCAATTCTTCCTTTTTTTTTGTACCCACTCTCTCGCCAAGCAGAGAGCAGCACGTCTAAACTTTGTATTTTACTCAACTGTTTCTCTATTAATTCCATCTCTTTTGCATCACTATAGTTTCAATCCGCTGCTATCGTTAGATCGAGCGCCCTGAAATCGGCCTGAAATAGGCCGTCGTGACTATCAAGTTGATATCGCACATGCTCATGTGGGAGCAGTTCGAGGCATACAAGTGTGCTGCCCGCGCGACCTGAGGGCTCCCGGCTGGTGGTCACCGGGCAGTCAGCGCCATGCCAGTGTCAGTCAGACACCGACTTTCCAGCCATGCATCATAGTAAGTGATGAACACTCTTAACCTATCGGTCCTTTGTCCGTTACGAACGCCTTGGCGACAAGCACCACGTCATAAACTCGGTCCTACCCTCTTTGCTTTCATTTCTAGAGGTATTCAACAAAGGTGTAGATGTGATTGCGCCAAGGACTCGGTGTCAGAAGTCGTTCCACGGAATAATTTCCTACACGATTGTGGTGCCCGCCGATACCTACGGTCGCGACAACCCAAGATAGCGGCATGGCGTGCTGATAACCTTCAGGCGTAACCCTGACGCGAAAGGATGGACTCGACTAATCAATATTATCTAAGCCAGGATAGCCCCGAAGAGATAAGCAAACGCAGAGCCGCTTCTTTTTCCGCTCCGTTTCCTACACTCTTCTGTAAAGGGAGTAAAACCGTAAAACTCGACCGACTGTTTCCGCGCGGCGCGTGGCCGAGCCTCTGTTATGGCGTGTGAGCAAAGGGGGGGGGGGGGGGGAGTGGGGGCTTTGCACCGCTGATGGAATACCTCGCCATAAAATGACTTCCAGTGCGGCGCCTGCCTGCCGCCCCTGCCGGCCGGACAGCCGGACCGCGGCCAAGTCGACTAAACCCCCCGGCCCCCGGCAGCCAGATGGAATCAGTCCCTGTGATTGGGGCGGCTTTAACCCTCCGCAGCCGCCGTTGCTGCCTTTGGCCGTTGCCTCCGTTGCCGCCGTTGCCGCCGTTGTCGCTGTTGCCATTCTCTGTTTGCGCCGTTTTTGGGATTAGCCTGTTTGCGGGAGTCCGGCGGCGGCCGCGGTGGTCGGAGAGCCCCGAGCACCTTTCCGCCGCTGCTGCTGGGCGAGCCAACCTCCAGGGCTGACCTCCAGGAGGAGGGCCCGGCCAGAGCATCAGTGGGGGCCGTATAGAGTCGCGGTGAAAGGGGAGGGTACGGAGGGAGACAGAAAAGTGTGGGGGCAGGGAGAGAGAGAGAGAGAACGAGGAGAACTGGCGGCGAGGGGCGGCCGCATCGCCCTGGGGATTGGACGGCTGGGCTTCTCTGCTCTGCGTCAATCCCCTCTTAATTGATTTTTCAGAGATAGAGAATTATCGTGGAGGCGCCGGCTAAGATGGTGGCTTGCTCTGGACGTCGAGAGAGGGCCGGAGGTGTGTTCCCCTCACTCTCTGTCTCTCTCACTCTCTCTCTTCTCCCCCATCCTGTCGGTCCTGACCCCGTGGCCTGTGCAGTGGCTCACCCAGTGGCCTGTCCCCAAAGGGGGCCGCGGCCCCGGCCCCGGCCCTGCGAGCAGGTCGAGCGGGTGCAGCCGGCTGGAGCTGCTGCTCGCCCCCCCCC